ATTCAAAGTTACATTCTGCTCTCTAACCATTAAACATTTTAACAAACTAAAACTCTCACCTGTCAAAGTTTCCCAAACATTTAATAATGGGTTCTTTTCTCCGTTTCTTTTCAACGGTGTTGCATTAAACTATAGCGACAGTATCGGCTGCTCTGCAGACCCACAAAGGGAACAACTGCTGGGATCAGGCCTATAATAGCTCGTTCTGCTCTAGTGGAGAAGGGGGGTGATGAAGCATCAAAAATGGCCTTGATTGTGAGAAATATCTGCCAGGATCCCAGACATGAACTGTAAATATAATACAATAGATCACATTAAGCTACATCACAAGAGTCTTGACCTAATGAAAATGAATGATGGTAATATTAAACTTTTTCAGTAATTTACGAGAGTTAAATTTAAGAGTTAAATTGCATAAAAAACTTGTACATGTTGTATTAAGAATGAAAAGATGAGAATAAAGCATCTTCTGCTAAGATCTCAGGCGATGCATCAGTCAGAGAAAGATCAGTTGTTTTTACAGGATTTAGTTGTTCTTAGGATCACCTAATAAAATAAAAAAAGCTGCAGCCATGGCTGTGAATAAATGGACACAGTAATTTCGTTCAGTTGGTTATTTTCCTGTTTTTCCCTTCAGCCCATTCATTCAATCAGATGTACAAGGAACAACGTGCAAATTCCCAGATGAGCATTTTGATCCATTTCAGGATTGCTGTGATCCTAATAATCAGCTTATAAATATTTAATTGTTTGGATGCTGCTGTACAGAAAACATATTAGCAATTTGGGGGTAATTTAAATTAAATTATAGTATATAAAAAAAAAAAATCACTAATCATCATCCTCAGAAGAACTCTGATGAGTTTCCCTGCGTGATGCCACCAGAGGGATGTGTATTAAAACTTGTAGGTACAGGTACTAGTAGGTACAGAGTATCCATTATTTAAAATAAATGTACAGATTTAAAATAAAACTGATAATGTCAACAAACACCAGGCCATTTTGTTCTATGGGTGATGAACTTTTTCATCATTCTGCTTTATTTCATCTCTATTCTCCCACTCTGCAGAATTAATTATTTCATTCTCTAACGTTATGCTCTCTCTGCTTTATCTCATAGTAGCTTCGCCTCGGCTCAGGTTATCCTGCGCTATCTCTAGTTATGCTGCTATAGGCTTAGACTGCTGGAGGACATAGGGACCCCTTTTCATCATTCTATCTCTATTTTCCAATTCTATAGGTTTTGTTAGTTCAATCACTAATGTTATGCTCTTTCTGCTTTTTCTCATAGTAGCTTCATTCATTTCAATTCTGTTTATTTATATAGTGCCAATTCACAACGTTTCATCTCAAGGCACTTTACAGTTCTCCAGTTCTTCATCTGGTCGGTTCCTGTATGGCTGTGACACCATCCTGGAGAGAAACATCAGCTGTGCTCCTGCCATCAACACCTTTGTTTACAGATGTTGGAGATCGGTCTGTTTTTCAGTGTGGTCCTGTTTCTCTGGCTGTGACTGGCTAGATGTGGTCTCTTCATCCTCTGACATGGGAGCTGGCTCGGAGCTCATCTGCCTGGCTGTGTGTTTCCTGAATTAGGCCGCCTTTCACAGTTGCTTTTTCTATCTCTGCTTCTTTCTCCTTGAACCCCAGATGGCCTCGGCAGATGGCCGCTCACACTGAGCCTGGTTCTGCTGGAGGTTTTTCTCCTGTTAAAAGGGGGTTTTTCCTCTCCACTGTTGCAACAAGCATGCAAACTGGTAGAAAACTAGATAGAACATTTTTAATCAGTTTGACTGTATGATCTGGTTGAATTGTAAAACCTATATAAACAAACTGAGCCATAAGGGCATGTTTATGTATTTTACAGCTCTGGTTTGTGTCTTTAACAATTGTCAAATCAAACTATGCCTCATGATGAAGCATGAATGAAGATTAAAACTGTAAGGCTGCAAATTCCAACTTAAACTCTGATCTGTGAACGAATATAAAAGGAGCCTTTTTTAATTGTTGGGAGAAAAGCCGTTCTCTCCTCACATGACATACTTCCAGTTGGGGAACTTGACACCGGATTATTCATTAAACATGTGACAAAAGCTATCCGGTTCGAGGCGGATATACCGGCTGTCAGAGACAAACGAATAAGATTTACATCAATTATCTTAAAGGAAAATAGTCTGCAGCGAGCGAGGAGCTCCGTGTGGCTGTCAGGAGAAGAAAGTGAAGGCCTCCATCCGCACACATCAGGATGCTCCATCCGTCCCTCCTCCTGCCTCATGACACAGGAGAAGCTCCTGGACGCGTCCAAATAACCACCTTAGACAGACAAAAACTACCAGCCGAAACACTCACTAGTTGGTACTGACTTACCGAGGCGGCGTTTTCTTCCCTAAAACAGAAGCCCTTTGCTTTTTTTTTTTTTTTTTTTTTCCAAATGAAAGCTTAAACCAGTCGAGGCTCCTTCCCGTTAGGAGGAGCAGCGCTCACTACACCCATAGGATGGAAGCTTGGAGCGAGCCAATCACAGGCTAGACACGACATAAAGTCCCGCCTATTAAATGCACCCATAGGTCACTAACACGGAAGTGAGTTGTAAGAGATTTGGCACTGATTGGTCCATAGCGGTAACATGAAAAACATCTGTGTGCTGATTGGCTTAAAATGTAACTTAGTCTGACATTTTGTTTCTAATATCAGATTTCATCTTGTGGAGTAGATCTCCATTCAGGACTGCTCTTATTAAAGGAGGCCATTCAGTTGAGGAGTTGCAGAAGTTAATATTGTTGTTTGGTAGCCATAAAGTAAATAGCATGTAATTTTAAAACGGTGGTGAAACATATAAATGAAATTTGACAGAAGGAAAAAATATTTATTCCTCTAACTTTAAATCTTTGGGTTTTAAAGCAAGTAGATGTTTATTCACTAGAGCTGAGTAGATGTATTCATCATTACTTTTTATAAGGAAAGCCAAATAAAATAAAGGCACAACATAGTTACATTACAATACTTTATAAATATATATATATATATATATATATATATATATATATATATATATATATATATATATATATATATATATATATATATATATATATATATATATATATATATATATATATATCCATGAAACTAGTCCATGCATTTGTTACTTCAAGGCTGGACTATTGTAATTCTTTACTATCAGGAAGTCCACAAACTGTAGTTAAAAGCCTTCAGCTGATCCAAAATGCTGCAGCCAGAGTTCTGATGATAATTAGAAAGAGAGATCAATCTCTATTCTAGCTTCTCTTCATTGGCTTCCTGTTAAATCCAGAATTTAATTTAAAATCCTCCTTCTCACATATAAAGCCTTAAATGGCCAAGCTCCATCTTATATCAGTTATGATTGTTCCTTATGTTCCTAACAGAGCACTTCGCTCTCAATCTGCAGGTTTACTAGTGGTTCCTAGAATTTCTAAAAGTAGAATGGGAGGCAGATCTTTTAGTTATCAGGCTCCTCTCCTGTGGAACCAACTACCAGTTTTAGTCCGTGAGGCAGACACCCTGTCTACTTTAAGGCTAGGCTTAAAACTTTCCTTTTTGATAAAGCTTATAGTTAGAGTGGCTCTGGTTATCCTCTATAGTTATGCTGCTATAGGCTTAGACTGCTGGAGGACATAGGGACCCTTTTTCATCCTTCCGTTTCATTCCATTTTCCAATTCTGCAGAATTTATTACTTCAATCATGAACGTTATTCTCTCTCTGCTTTTTTTCATAGTAGCTTCGTTCAATTCAGTTTATTTATATAGTGCCAATTCACAACATCAAGGCACTTTACAGTTCTTCATCTGGTCTGTTTCTGTTTGGCTGTGACGCCATCATGGAGAGGGTGTCGGCTGTGCTGCTGCCATCAATGACTTTGTGGATGTTGGAGCTTGGCCTATTTTTCAGTGTAGTCCTGTTTCTCTGATTTTAAATAACCAAGTGCGGCACAGAGCCGCCCCTGGAGCTGGTTGACAGTTGCCTTTTTTATCATTTCTTTCTCTATGTCTGCTTCTGTCTCCTTGAACCCCAGTTGGCCTCGGCAGATGGCCGCTCACACCGAGTTCTGCTGCAGGTTTTTCTCCTATTAAAAGGGAGTTTTTCCTCTCCAGTGTCGCTACAAGCATGCTTGGTGTGACAGCCTTGCCTTCGAGTCAGTGAGTTCATGCAATCAATTGGTTTTCCTTAGAAAGAAAACTTTAAATCTGTACGGTACAATCCGACTGTATGATCTGGTGAACTGTAAAGTGCCTTGAGATGACATGTGAATTGGTACTATATAAACTGAATTAAATATCAAACAGCTAAGTGTCTAATCTTCGCACATAGTTTATGTTTACAGCTGGTAAAATATGGGACACAAAGGCTGAGCAAGGATTATATCCTGCCAGTAGTTGAAGGAAACATGAGTGGCTCAACATAATTTATTTCCATTTTATGTTAAAATGTACAGAGTTCTTGCTAAGAAAGAAAACAAAAATAAAACAAATGAATAACTTGAAATGCATTCAGGGACAGAGTAGAGAGCTGAGGTGGCTGAGCACGACTCAACCTTCACTGTGTGCTCTGCTGTCACCCAGTCTCTTTATTTTTGCGCTCTCTTAGCGTACAACGCAACATGTACAATTACAAAGGATACAAAAAGGGAAGCAATATAAACAGACAAATATACTGAGCTCATTTGTACATGCCTCTTAAATGTAAGGAAGTCATCCTATACACACACAAGTAAAAAAGAAAAAAAAAAAAAAAAAAAAAACGAAAAGAATGCCAAGTGACCTTTAGATATTTATAGTCCTTTTGTTTAAAATAGCATTAATATACTACACAAAGATAGAAAAACTCTAGAGCTGAGATGGAATGGAGAGGTTAAAGGCATCTTAAAGTCACTAAAAGTGAGTGGTAATTTTTTTACATTTTGAATTTCTTAGTAATCGTCCAGAAGGCGAGCTAAAAAAATGATTTTTTTTGTGTGTCGTTTTCTGAAACAGAAGTGGGAAAAGAAATGACAGTACCAATATCAATGTCAGAATTAGCTTTTTATATTATAGAAAAACATCTTCTCTACAATAGTTTTCTAAAGACAAAAAGAGTCAGCTTGTGTCATAAAAGAAAGCTGCCCAGTCTGATAAAATTCAGAAACCGAATGACGAAAAGAAACGAGTAAAGAACAGAGCAAAACACTCAAAACCAAAATATGCATGTAGGAAAAAAACAAAACAGAAACCCAAAACTCTTCCTTTGACTTTCAACACTGGTACAAGGAGCGACAGGATGACTTTCTTCTTTTTTTTACACGCCTGTCCTCTGAACGCTGCTCCCTCGCCTCTGACCCTGCTTTAAGTTAAGTGCACCTCGGTCTGAGGGCCGATCCGAGCACTAGATCGGGCATTTTAGGCACACCTTTCAAAAAGGTTGGATGTCTGCTGCCAAACGTCTAGTCAATGGGAGTGCAGAAACGAAAACTACTTTGAGCAGAATAACAGAAAGCGAGCTCCTGGACCTCTAGGAAGAGGCGGGGCATCTAGAAACACCCTTTATATAGAGCAGGTCAACTCTGCATTCTCTAAGCTGCTAAAAAAGGCTGACACTGTACACCGTCAGTCAGTGGAGTGTGGACAAAAGGAGGTGAATGTCGGACGTTTCTGAGCGAGCCGCCGAAACGCAGCGGCTTGTCAGCCACGTCGTCCGTGTGTGCATGTGTGTGGAGTGTGGGGAAGTACCAGAATATTTACATCTAAAATGTTTCCAAGTGGCAGCGAACTGGAAAATAATGCTACTTGTTTCTTCCATGGATATATAACAGACAGTAACACCTTTTCTCTTGTCGTGTTTTTTGTTTTGTTTTTTTTGGTACAACACTGTCCATCTGGGAAGACGGGAGACGTCGGAAACGGCTCAGACGCCATCAGACGTGCCTGAGGCGGAAACCGTGGGGATCCGAGAAGCTCGGCTCTTCAGGGATGACGCCGAGCGGATGTGTCACCGTTTCAGAATGCCACATATATAAAGACAAAAGCATATAAAAGGTCGGACTGCACATGAGTATTCCAAATAAACAACAAAAACAACAAGAAAAATAATATTTAACATTATGTTTAACAAAACAGTCCACCTACAATGGTCTTTTTTTAAGATAAGGCTTCCTATATCGCTTTAAAAGATTGTGTGCATGGTTGGATATATTCAGTTTTTTATTTCATCCGCAGCCTTGTTGGGGGTAAAAAACTCCTGTTTTGTCTTTCAGGTCGTTTCTCTTTTGGTCGCCTCCTGTTCTCCCGCAGGGCATCAGGAAAAGGAGGAATCGTTTCCCACGCTTGCCTCTTGGCGGCCCCTGCACTGGAGCGGCGCTCCAGAGAGGAGGTCCCATCCCGAATCCCAAACACAGCCAGCTGCAGGGAGAAGCGAGCCCAAATAAAAACTGGACAAAATGAGAGGAACAGGTGATCCAAACGCCTCCCTGCTGACCAGGCAAAGGAGGGATGGACATTTAAAACACAGCCAGCTTCCACTCTGGTCCCACGTCTCCGTTTGGCGCCTCAGCTGCTCATCTGCTCATGTATGGCGACTGTTTGGGAACTCCGGCGTAGCTGTGATGGGAGGGGCCCGTGTACATCATGTTGCTATGGTGATTAGGCTGCATAGGCTGTTGGGGGTAACCCTGGCCTCCCATCATGCCCATCTGCATCTGCATGGGGTACTGAGCCGGCTGGTTCATGTAGGGGGGGTTGCTGTGGTAGCCGCTGTTCATCATGCTCTGAGGCATCCTGTAACCCGCCGACATGGCGTTCAGAGGAGGCATGTTCATAGAATTGTACGCCGCCGGCGTCGGCATCAGATTAGGCATCATGCCCCGTTGCACCGCCAGTGTCCGGGGGGTGCCCTGCATGGCCACGGCCCCGGAGCTGCGGCCGTAGAGCTGCTGCTGGTGGGGGGCGGGCGCCAGCTGCTGGGTGGCTTTGGACCGGATGGAGATGTGGCCTTTGACCGTCGCCATCTGACCCTGCAGCCTGTGCGACTGAGGAGGTCCCAGGCCGATGTTGGTGGCCGGCATGTTGCACTGGAGCTGCAGAGAGCCCAGGTTCATGGAGCCGGAGCTGAGGTTGGCGGGGGACGTCATGCTGGGCTGGCCCTGAGGAAGCGAGTGGGGCGAGGGGGCCAGCCCTGGGTTGGAGAGAGACACGCTGGTGGCGTATGACGTGACGGAGGGAGAGTGAGAATAGGGCATGGCGTGAGGTTCCATGATGGTGTTGGTGAGCTGCTGAAGCTTCGCCAGGCTGAACGTAGCGGTGGACTGAGGGTAGCTGCCCGTTCCAAAGTCCTGACCCATCCGCTCATAGAGGGCCCTGCCGCCTCCCCCCCCTCCGCTCTCTGGGATCTCCATGATCATGGGGGTGGAGGCGAAGCCGTTTCCCATGCTGCACTGGGACAGAGCCTGCTGCTGCGGCGGGGCTGAAGGTTGGGGGTTAGGGGGTTGCTGCTGAGGAACCTTTTTTTGTGACTGAGGTTGCTGCTGCTGGTTGGTGCTGGGGGGCCTCTCGATCACTCCGCAGCTCTGAGGTGACTTGATACCACAGCTGGGGGTGTTGGAAGGTGGTGGCGGCGGTGGGGGCTGGGGAACGGCGCCGGCCACGTTAGCGGCTCCTGGACCGCTGTTTGGCCCGGTTTGCTGAATGAGGCTACAGCTGCCCATCCCCAGCTGGGACCCCCCACTGGCTGCAGGGGACGTCAGACTGGGAGCCTGAACGAAGGAGCAGCTGTTGGACTGAGAGGATGAGGAAGAGGGCGTGGCTGAGGTGGAGGAGGAAGACGATGATGATGACGCTGCAACGGGTCCCGTCACCACGCCGCCCGACAGCGGCCCTCCATTACCTCCGTTTCCCGTCCCGTTGCCCCCGCCGCCCATGGTGGAGTCGTAGCTGCTGGGGTTGTCATAGTTCTCCGTTGTGCTTTCGATGCTGCCCAGGTCGCTGAAGCCGCTGTCCACCACCTGTTGGGAGTGGTCAGACACAGACGGCACGTCCATCATGGGAGACGTCTCCATGTTCTGCTGGGACGGAGCGGAGAGCGAACTGGGATGTTCTGGAGTTATCTGGGTGTAGCCGCCCCCAGCGTTCCCACTGCTGCCTGTGGATCCGGCGGGGCCAGGCGTCCCACCCCTCTGCCCGGCTTGCGCCGTCTCCACGATGCTCGACGACGACAACCCGGGGCTGCTGGCGGAGCGGACGGACTGGTTGGGCAGAGGAGGCACCGGGGGGTTTGGGAGGGGGCTGCTGTGCTGTGAGGCCCCACACTCCTCCACCAAAGGCAGCCCTTCCTCTTCGTTCTCTCCTGAGTGGCTGTAACTCTGCAGGGTGCGGCAGGCGGCCAGCGTCTCCTCGCAGTCTTGGTACGCCCCGTGGTGCGGCTGCGGCTCGGCCTCGTCCTCCTGGGCTTCCCCCTGCGTCAGAGACTGCACGGCCTGCATGGTCTCCAGGTCCAGCTCGTTGGAGTGTTGGTGCTGGTGATGCGAGTGGTGTTGGCCCATCTCCTCCTTATATTCCGAGTGCTGGTGGGGGTGGCTGTGCGCCTGTTGGGGTTCCATCAACAGCGTGACATCTTTGTCGTCTGGGTGGAGGGCGTCCAGCGGCAGGTTCTCAGAAGGGACGGACATGGCCGTTACCGTCTCCACAGCTGCAGCCGCCGCCGCCGACTCCTCCTGCTCTCTGCGCCGCCTCTCCTCCTGCAGCGGGTCAGCAGAAGGAGGCGGAGTCTTGGCTTCCTGCACATCTTTCTCAGCCTCCTCCTCCTCCGCGTCTTCCTCCTGCTTGCTGACATAGTTTGGCGCCACGCTGTTGTCCAGGTCTAAAAAAGCCTCCCCAGCTTGGGGCTCTTCTTTGACAGGAGGAGAGTTTGCTCTTGAAGTAGCCTCATCGTCTTCCTCCTCCTCCTCCTCATCATCATCTTCATCGTCAGTGTCTGGTCTTTTTCTCGTTTTGGAGCCGTTACTCTTGTCTTCTAAATGACCGTCACCTTCATCGTCTGCGTCGTGCTCCTCGCTGCGCCTGTTACCGGAACCTGGTGTGACCGCCGCTCGCCTGCTGCCTCTTTCTTCCTCCTCCCCATCTTCGTTGTCGTCGTCATCCTCCCCGTCTCCCATCTCTGCATCTGGAGGCTGGGAATGAGGGGCCCGTGGCCCCGATGCCGAGGAAGAAGGCGAGGGGGAGAGCAGGGGCCGGGACGGTGGCCGACTGGGCTTTTCTTCTGCCCATGCGCCTTCGTCGTCATCTTCATCCTCTTCATCTGGCTCGGAGGTGGGAGGGGGATTGGGCGCAGGCTGTGGCGGCTGGTGGAGGGAGCGGTTCTTAGGCGGCCTCCCGCGCCGTTTGGGCACTTTCTGTTCAGCAGGTTTAGGGAAATAGTCGTCGTCTTCATCCGAGTCTTTCTGTTTGCCTCTCAGACCTGTGATGGAGCGGTCCTCCGCCTGCAGCAGCTGAGCATCTTTGTCCAGCTGTTTTCTTTCCTTCTCCTGCTTCTCGGCCTCCTCCCTCTGAAGGTACAAGCTCCGGGGTTTGCGGCCAGGCTTCATTTTAATTTTGGGGCCGAGGGAATCCCCACTTTGGACTTGGCTGTCTTCTTGGTTAGGTCCACTGCCGGGGAGTTTTCCAGGTCCGCGTTTCGTCCATTGCTGTGGCTTCCGGCTCTTCCCTTTGGGCCAGCCCTTCTTCTTTTTCACGGGGGCATCGGGGTTGACCATCGATAACTCTGACAGCGCAGATACGGGCTTCAGCACAGGCGTCAGTTCTGAAAAGGCAAGAAACTTGGTAAGACAAAGTAATCACACTATAACTCTACCTCTTAATAAAAACAGATGACTGACCGTCTTCCTCTGAATCAGAGAGGTTGGAGTGGCAGGGTCGTTTGGATAACGGCTCGGATAATCTCAGAGCCGATCTAGCGGGCGGATAGCGACGCAGCGGGTGGCCCAGGGACCTTTCCTCTACCAGTCTGGGCATCGGCCTCTCAGAGTCCGAGTCCACAAAGGGCTCATCCAATACCTCGGTGGTCTCAGATATGGTCTCCGTCACCACGCTGCTTTGAGGGTGACTGCTCCGGCGAAAACGCGGCCTCTTCAGGGGCTTCTAGGAAGATACAGAGTCAATTATTATCACACTTTTTACTGACAGAAGGTTAAAAGCAGAGATGCACAAAGACACTTTCTATTCACTGATGTTCAGTTTTTGCAGAGCTACAAATGACTCTGATTGATACGGATTTTTCTGGAAGATGTAGAATATAATAGCACAGGGGTCCCCAATTAAAAATCAGCAGGTCCGAATAAAGAAAATCAACAACCAGTAAACGTCCAGAGACATTTTTAATTATAATCTGTTTCTTTAAACGGAATTTAACACTGAAACAAAATGAGGTGTTTATGCATCTAGGGCTGGGTACCGAACTTCGGTTCTTTTATGGTACCGACCGAAGTGCTTCGGTTCTACAGAGTATCCAAACATGCCTCGTCTTTCGGTACCACGTTTCGGTGATTGGCTGTAACACTTAACGTGATTGCGTCATCCAGGAAAAATACACAGGTGGTCACGCCTACAGCCAGGGTTCATGTGTATCTGTTGTGAACTGATTGCGAGCGTCATGGAACCCCTTTAAAATGCCCCTCAGGTCAAAAGTGTGGCTTCACTTTATTAAGACTGATGCCAATAGTGCGCAATGCAATACATCGCGCACGGAAACAATTTAAGAGCAGAAAGTTGCTCGGTGTTTGACTGCAAGAAGAGCGGACCGCAGCGAGCGCAACCATCCTCCTCTCAGCAGCCCGTAGGCAGCGCAAAGCCAGAGCGGAGTGAAACATGCTGCGTTCACACCGGACACAGCAAGAGCAGCAAAATCGCGTCTGCTGCTTCCTTTTTTGCTGCTTGTACCAGCTTCTGACGCGCGGCTGAAGCGGCTTTGCTGCTCTGGCTGCGCGGTCGAAAAGTGGCTCTGACGCGTGTTGGGCAGAGCTACTCTATCCTTTATTTACCTTGCAGCTATATTTGCTGTGATCAGTGGGAATAAAGTAGTTTTATTATGTTTTTAAGTGGGAAAATCCACCTGAAAACTTAATCAGTGCAGTCAGTTCATCCTGCCTTCCAATATTTCTGTGGGAGCCGCTCAGACCCCCACATACCAGCGGTGCGCTTTCAGTAGGATCCCATTCAACAGGCTTGTTTGTCAGACATGGTCATTTTTCTAAAGAAAAACTGCTAAGTAAAAAGGTCCTCACAATGTATCAGTGAATATTAGACACTGAAATTTTTTTTTCATGTAAGAGGAAAAATGTAAATGGAAAAATCAGAGCTTAAAATAAAACTCAAGATTTGTACTTTTTTTATGTTGTGTAATTTTCTTTTTCTTCGAATTGATATTATAAAACTGGTATCGAAAAAAGTATCGTTCAGGAACCGGTATCGAAGTGAAGGTATTGGTATTGGTCCCGGAACCGAACATTTTTGAACAATACCCAGCCCTATATGCATCCATGTTATAAAATGACTTTTAATTAAAAAACAATTTTTTTCACATTTTAAAATCTAAACAGTTTTTTAAATGGAGAACAACAATTGTTCATATAGACAAATTCCTGATTCACATATTTTATAAAACAACTGAACTGAGCGTTTATTTCTTTTTTTATGCTTTAATAAGAGAAGTGGTCTTTAGGCTTTAAATCTGTGTTTAAATGACCCTGGATCCATATTTATTTTTGATTATGTTCACGGTGGAGAATCCTGCTTTACAGCAGTAGGTTTAACCAAACATACTCTAAATGTGCAGGGTCATCTTTGAGCACGCCATTGCACTTTCCTTTTACTCGTTCACTGTGCTTCTTCCAGCAGTCTACCCTTTCTCTGCTCTTTCTCATCATCTCCTTCTTTCCCATCGCCCGACTTCCCAGAGCTTTACCTGCTGTGTCTAAAAGTAGCAGCAGCAGCAACCCAGACTGACAGCAGCTCATTGGCTAATTTGTATCAGGTGTAGCCTGGTCCCAGATGCTACGGAAGGCTTTACCGTACAAACAGGAGAAGCGGCGCAAGGGAAATTAGACACTGCCGTTGGACAACATGTGGTAATTTATGAATGTTTTAAATCAGGTAGAGTCCGGATCCGGACAGGTAATCCGTGACCTCTGGAATAGGACACGTGATCAGGATTCACATCAGCGAGTGGATGTTTTAGGATGTTTAGATTATCCAGGCAGACGAGTTCAAGCGAAGCGTTGGCCAAAGGGAAGCAGACTACTGATAGAAAAGAAGACTGGACGAGGAGATTATACCTTCGCCTAAAGGTATTGTGGAGGATTTTTGCTAATTTTTTGAAAAGACCCATCCTCTCCACTTTTAAAATTAGGAGGACCATTTATTTTGATGATCCACCCGGAAAAAGAATATCCTCCACTATAACTCTGAGACGCAAGTCAATATTTCCAGATCAGACATCCTTCATTACAAAAAGAAGGATGTTTGCTGTGCTTCCCGTTACCTTTCAACAAAGAATGAACCACAGACATGTCTCAAGGGCTGGTTAGACTCCTGCAACAGTGTCATATTTAGCTTGTTGCAGGTACTTTTAAACTTTTAAAGCATGGTCTGAGCTGTTATTCCACGCCACAACGCAAGAGGGACAATCACAAACTAGCTAGGATTGTGGGTGTCTGTGTGTCGGTTTGACGAGCTTCTTCGCCGTCTACAACCCCTCATCCACCGCCGGATGAGGGGTTGTAGACGGCGAATCACAGGTGCAAACCAACAGACCGTCACACAGAGCTACAAACTAGCGTCCTGCACCGTGTCTAGGATAGTGTCCGAGGTGTGCCAGATATTGTGGACGGCACTACAGCCAGAGATTAGGTACCAAATAGGAAATTTGCATAGTGTAGAGCAGATGTAGATTTGACCAATCAGAGGCCTCCTTTCTCTCCTCCCTGTGACGCTATCCGCAGCACTGCCTGCAGTCACCTATAATTTTGGGGAGGTGCATCATACTTTGCTTCTTATCTAAATCTAATGGCTTTAATCAGTTACGTACCTTGCATTTCAGGCCTATTGCTGGTTTGGTGAGGATGGGTGGGGAGCATGCCCTCTCCTCTTCATCATCTTCATCGTCCTCCTCTTCATCATCACTGCTTTCACTGAAACCGCTCTTATCGACAGATGGAGTGTCGTTTAGCCTAGACAGGACAGACAGCGGCAGCCCGTCCCCGGGCCCGTCTGGAAGTCTGGGCTTTGGACCCCTCTTCTTTCTCGGGGGTCGACCTCTTCGTGTTGTCGGGGTTATTGACGTGTGCCTGGCCAAGTCCGCAGAATGAAAAGCCGAGGAGTCTCCTTGTCTATCCATTGAGAAAAGGGAAGGCGGGCTGCTGGAGGAGGCTGCCGTCCTTCCTTCTCCTGGAGTCTCCTCATCCTCGTCATCCTCATCATCAACGGGACAGATCTTGGGAGGTCGCCCGACGCGTGGTGGGTTTTTCATTTTGCCCCAGGGACAGTTTTTGGGCGGACGGCCCCGCGGCCGGCGCTCCCCGTTTGTTGGCAGAGGAGGATGTGCTGCATCCGGGACTGAGGACGGCCCGTGGACAGAGGAGGAAGCCGGAGAGCTTTGGCGTATGGGAAACCCCAGGAAACCCTTGGTCTCTTCGTCATCTGCGCTCTGCTGCAAATGCCAGGGGGTCGTTTGCAGCTTGTGGCTTGGTTTGATCTGTTCAAAGTTACACCAAATAGATTAAATGAAGAATATTGAAAATGGAGGCAGAAACCCTGAAGGTTTGACCAACATATCGTCATATCTACCTCCTTCTGAATGTCATCCTCTGGTTCTTCCTCCTCCTCTTCCTCTTCATCCTCTCGATCCGATTCAGAGACAACAGTGTTTGTAACGATGACCGGCGTCCAGCGGAGGCACTCTGGGTCCACTTCCAGCTGCCGTGGTCGAGCCTTGAGACGAGCCATGTGGTTCGCCACCACTTTCTCCCTTCGCACCAGCACAAGCCTGCAGGTACACATTAAATGGAGCGTTAGAGCTCCAACACTTCCAGTACGTTTCAATGGGAACGTCTAACATTCAACTCTTCACAGCAGCACCCGGTGGTCACACCTCATCTGCTAAAACACATATACACATTCATAACAACTTGACTGAAGCCTTAGGCTATATTCACACTGAAACCTGAAGTGACCCAAATCAGATTTTTTTGGCCCATATTCGATCTGTATCTGACCTTTTCATGGCTGTCTGAACAACACAGATCCGATTTCTCATCTGACCTGAAAGCCATTAATACCCAACAAAGGTCACCATTCTGGGTCTTGCTATGAAGAACCAGCAAGAAAAACAACAACCATGGTGGATGATGATGCGGAGAGCAGTATTTATGTTTAACCATATTGAAAAGATTGTGTTTTTATGTTGGGAAAGATCGCTAGATGTGCTCCAGCACTACCATCCATTTTACTTCCCTAAACACAGAGCGCGCTGGCCTGTGATGTCATTGCGTCCTCTACTGCCCCCATGTGGGACACTTGCGTTGTATGACTGCAGTTCACACAGGAGAACACATACAAGTCACATATATTTGGAAATGTGAACGGCAACGCAAAAAAACATCAGATTTTACAAAAGAATTGGATTTGAGCATCAAGGCCTGCAGTGTGAACGAAGCCGAAAAGCCCTTCAATCAACCAAGGTTGTGCAGCTGCGAGTCAGAACAGACCTGTCCCCTCGCTGCTCCAGCATGTTGAGGCTGTGCAGGGTGGTGGTGATATCTTGTGGGCAGATTCCCGTCTTTTTGCTGAGCTGTCGTATGGTGATCTGTTGGTCACGGACCTCATGGAGGCACTCCAGTACCACACTGCGCCAGTAAGCCATATAGGACAGCCGGCCAAGGTCTGATAGAGGCTTTTCCGGGGAGCCTGGTTGTCCTTCCCTCTTTGACAGTAAATAGCCTTAAAACACAAAGAATCAACCATGAGTGAAATATATAAAACACAATAAGCAATACTAAAATGTAGCTGTATTTGTGGAAGGACTGGTGTCCTTACTGAAGTCGATCAGAAAGCGTCCATAGCCCTTTCGCTGGTATTGTGGAAGAATCATGATGCACGATACGTTGTATTTCTGTTGACAATGCTTCTCCTGGAGAAGAAGAGAAACACAAACCTCAGAGAATAATACTTCAGTGTTTTCCCACCGTTACTAGAGGGATTCCCAAAATATTTACTAAACAAAGGAGTTAAAAACAGAAGTCATTTAGGTCACTTTTCCAACTAAATGGCTCCATAAAATGCTCTTTTAATACATTTTTTTTTAAGTTTTCCTGTATCTACAGTTTTCAGCATCACCATCGCATCGCAGCAACTCCCACCAGTAGACACAGGCTATGTTTTCAAGCAAAGAACTCCTAATCAGACTGAGATGCGATCAGAATAAAATAGGTTCTATGAAAACATAGTTTATATGTGCACAAAAGGAAAAAATAACTGATCTGATCATGACTAATTTACTTTCATCAGCCTTACTTCCGAGTAAAAACACTCTGAAAGGCACCAAGTTTTCATATTTCCCTAAAACAATCACAGGAAGAACTTTTATACTGCTGCCTATAAATACAAATCCTCTGATTGTTTTGAACAGCTAGAATGGACCAGCAGCAGGTTGTGAGAATGGCAACAAAGCAACATGTAACAAACTCAGCAAGGCCTGTAGTTTCGATGTTACAGTAAGAGAGCAGGAGGATGTCAACCTCGAGCGTTGCTGTTCCTTTCCTCCACAGACATGCAGTTTCAGTTTCCCCCTGATAAGAAAGGCTTGATCCAAAACGTGCCCCTTCTTCTAATTAGGAATAATATTTCATTTTTGGCATATTTACATGACTTGTTTTCACTCTTATAGGCTCATTTTGGCAGGTATTGGTGTCCATGTAAACACATCAACTGAACACAACAGAAAAGAAGTTTCAAATACCTGCAAACGAAGGGCAACAGGTAGCAGCTACTAAGGCTAAAACGCGCTGCATGCATTCCGGCTGCATAGAGGGTCCCTCTATGAGCCACCAGACTGGGGAGATCAAGTATTCACAGAGAGGATGTAGCGGGACTTCCCCCAGCATAAACAAGCTGAGCAGTAAACATTAAGCTGCAGCTGCCGCTCTTAAAAGCTAAAAGAAAATCACAGTTTCACTGGATCTGTACTCCTGAGCTCCAAACACAAGTCAGTCTACTGTTTATTGAAATGTTTTATTGGTTGTTTAAGTCCAAGTCCAACCCTCTTTGTGTAGAAAGGCTGCATTATCAGGTGAAACTTTAAGGAGGACAAACCAGGCTGGCATTACTTTGCATTTTCTCCTGGGATGTTTTTTACTTTGTCTCCCTTTCTTTCACACTCAACATGAGTGGCTGAAATGTTTGGGAGCCTCTGATATAAAGATGGAAAGAAGCATTGATTAAAGAAATCACTGGTTATACTGATGTAATTAAATAAACTCTTGAATATTCATTTCCATTAGTACGGAAGCCCAGAGCGGTCGTGTCCCTCTGATACTTTATCAAGGCGGTTTTCTCGATAAAACAAGTTAATTTTCTAATTATCTAAGGACAACGAAAGCCGTTTTCTCATCATAACGACATGATTGGTGTGTGTTAAAACTGATTACATCCTTCAATACCACATCAGTGGTAGAGGATTTATAAAGAGAATTTATGGCGGCCTATGTGTAATTCACTAAATAATCCCTTGTTTAACTTTTAGTCTGATGATTTGCTTTCACTTCTGATTCCTAAGCAGTTAGATGTATGCCTCTGGGGACATAGCACTGGGTGTTTGCAGAACAGCCCCGGTGTTATGCCTGTTAACTGCATTAACCCCCAAAAATTAGTCAAGATTTTCATTAAAGGGGTCATAGAATGCAAAACCAAGTTTACATTGTCAAAGATGAATAAGTCCAATGGGTGAAATGGATGTACAGAGAAGTTCAAACCCCATCGACATGTCCTATCTATGCAAATCTCACGATTCTAAACTTGCACCATAAAACGGGTGAATCCAAACCAAGCACCGAATTGATGTCAATGCTGGGGTGGAGGTTGGTTGCTGGGCCGCTGACTGGACCGGACCTCAGCAGAAAGCAATGAGCCGCCTGACTCTGATCTGAGTAAGATTACAATTTCTATCAGACTTTGTTGTCATGTCTCCTGGTTATTTAATACATATATGTTATGAAGAATTTGTCCTGGTTGATCTCTTTTCAGGAAAACGAACCGGAGAGAGAAAGCTTCAAGGTGCAGACACAGAGCCCATCTTTAACAAGCAGTATCGCGAATGCACAACTACGGGCCCCGCAGGCATGGATGGCCTGGGAATCCAGGTCTGCTCTCCAGCCTCATTCATTACTCATACAGGTTAATCATCTTTTTATCTCGACAAATCAATAACTGTTTTCTCATTATGACCAGATAATTATCTTGTCATTTTGAGATAACAATAAATGGTTTAATAGTGATAACGAGATAGTTATGTCATTATCTCCAGAAGGCAAAGGAAAAAAAAAAAGAAAAAAAGGTGAGTATGGCCGCTCTCTGCTTCCGTACTATTAGCCTGAGAACCCGCAAAAAAAAAAAAAAAAAAACTACAATTAAGCACTACTTGGTGTTGATGTAAAATTAAATCCCAAAGAAAGACGTTGAAGGTTGCAGCTGTAAGAAAACGTTTTGTTTGAGCCTTTTTTTTCCACTTTAAAGGTTTGAATTTATTTATCTCATAAAACTAGAGAAAGATGAAAAATTCTGATTTAAGAGTCTCAAAGCAGGACGTTCTGAATCCTACCTTAGAGAAGTAGCCGACAAGATGGCAGCCTTTGCTGTCATTCTGCGTGAGAACGTAGAAAAGGAAGGGCTCTACGTCGTAGTAAAGGGTCTTATGGTCCAGGAAGAGCTTGGCCAGCAGACACAGGTTCTGACAGTAGATTGTGCTCACGTTTCCATCCACCTGGAGCCAAAGGGGGAAAAAAATGGAAACACACCAGCAATGATGACTTTTATCTTTCTAGAGGCAGAAACAACCTGATGTTTAAACTGCAGTCGCTCTATAGAAAAAGCATTTGACCAATTAGAAGTCGATATCAATGCAAAGAGGAGCATGCCATAAATAAAGCCTTTCTATAGAGAGTATGTGTGTGTTTGGGCTGAATAGTACAGCAGCTCTGTCTCTGTATAAACATCCTTTCCTCACCTCAAACACAGAAACTTCGTCCTTCCTGTAGATCTCATTGGCTGGAGGGTGGAACCAGCTGCACTTCTTCATGTGCTGGTACAGGATGCTGCGGCTCTTCATGTAACGCAGGCAGAACTCACACAGGTACAGTTTGGGGAGTCTGGAAAGGTGAAGACAGACGATAAGCTCAATGTGTGACAAGAACTGAGGACAAGAAGCTGATGGTTCTTTGGACCTGACAGCTTATGGTACTTCAAACAAACTGCCTACCTGCACCGGGCTGGTTACAAGCTGAAGTGAGGGGAACTGTAAGGTAATCTCTCTTTAAGTTGGGAGGAAATGCTACTCTTATGAGCCAGCTACATGTTGGCTTACCTGCTGTACTCCTGTGGGTACGGAGATGAATACCAAGTCTGGATTTCGAACTTGCCAAATTCGATGACGGATGGACAGCGCATCTGTGGATCTGGTGGACCTGTCACTCCAACTTTCTGTTTGGGGAAACAGATTTTTAGTTTCTCACCTCTCATCCTATTTTTTCCTCGTATCTGGGCCTTTTTAAAACACCAACACGTTTGCTCAGCCTCTCTACAGTGATGGCCAAAAATTTTGAGAATGATTCAAATGTTAACATTTACAAAGTCTATTGCATTTTGCATATACTCCAGAATGTTATAAAGAGTGATCAGCGTAACAGCAATTAATTGCAAAGTGAATATTTGCCTAGAAAATGAACTTTATCCCACAAAACACATTTCAATGTCTTTTCAGCCCATGCCTTAAAAGGACCAGCTAACATCTTTTCAGTGATTGCTCCATTAACACAGGTGTGGGTGGGGATGAGGACAGGGCTGGAGATCAATTGGTCATGATTCAGTAAGAATGACACCACTGGACACTTTAAAAAGAGGCTGGTGCTTGGCATCATCGTTTCTCTTCTGTGAACCATGGTTATCTCTAAAGAAACACGTGCAGTCATCATTGCACTGCACAAAAATGGCCTAACAGGAAAGCGAATAGCAGCTAGAAAGATTGCATCTCAGTCAACAATCTATGGCATCATCAAGAACTTCAAGGAGAGAGGTTCCATTGTTGCCAAAAAGGCTCCAGGGCGCCCAAGAAAGACCAGCGAGCGACAGGACCGTCTCTTTAAAGTGTTTCAGCTGCGGGATCAGGCTACCAGCAGTGCAGAGCTTGCTCAGGAATGGCAGCAGGCAGGTGTGAGTGCATCTGCACACACTGTGAGGCGGAGACTCTTGGAGCAAGGCTTGGAGAAGCCACTTCTCTCCAGGAAAAACATCAGGGACAGACTGATATTCTGCAAAAGGTACAGGTAGTGGACTGCTGAGGACTGGGGTAAAGTCACTTTCTCTGATGAATCCGCTTTCCGATTGTTTGGGACATCTGGAAAACAGCTTGTTCGGAGAAGAAGTCTTGTCTCATGCCAACTGTAAAGCATCCTGAAACCATTCATGAGTGGGGTTGCTTCTCAGCCAAGGGAGTCGGCTCTCTCACAGTCTTACCTAAAAACACAGCCATGAATAAAGAATGGAACCAGAATGTCCTCCGAGAGCAACTTCTCCAAAACGTCCAAGAGCAGTTTGGTGATGAACAATGCCTTTTCCAGCATGATGGAGCACCTTGCTATAAAGCAAAGGTGATATCTAACTGGCTCAAGGAACAAAACATAGAGATTTGGGGTCCATGGCCTGGAAACTCCCCTGATCTTAATCCCATTGAAAACTTGTGGTCAACCATCAATAGACGGGTGGACAAACGAAAACCTAGGAATTGTGACAAAATGCAAGCATTGATTGTGCAAGAATGGACTGCTATCAGTCAGGATTTGGTCCAGAAGTTGATTGGGAGCATGCCAGGGAGAATCGTAGAAGTCCTGAAGAAGAGCGGTCAACACTGTAAATATTGACTTGCTGCATTAACTCATTCTAACTGTCATTAAAAGCTTTATTTTCTCTCATATGATTGATATTTTATTTCTGTATGTGATAACATCTGACATACACACATGAAAACCAGAGGGCAGCAGATCATGTGAAAATATATTTGTGTGATTCTCAATACTTTTGGCCATGACTGTAAAAACAAAATTGAGTATGATCTCCATAGGGCTGCAACAACGAATCGATAAAATCGATAAAAATCGACTTTTAAAAGCGTTGGCAACGAATTTAATCATCGATTAGTTGTGTCGCGCGATTAATGCGTCATCCGCCGCCGCCGTCATCCGGGGGAAGAAAAAAAAATATGGCGGAGCGAGTCAGCGCCGCAGTTGCAGTGTTGCCAACTCAGCGACTTTTCAGAACCCTCCAGCGACTATTTTTCAAAAAAGCGACTAGCGACAAATCTGCCGACTTTTTTACGGTGTCACTGGCGGCTTTTGCCTGCCGTGGGGCACCTCCCCCATCCCAACGCCTTTCTCCCTCTCCCACAGGAATCCCTCTCAGCGCGGCAGTCAGAGCCGCAGGATTTTAGTGAGGAGTTTACCCTCAGCGTCCAGACTGCAAATGAAGCGCGCATGCCCCGGGATTGACGGCGCAAATTGATCACAATAATTAAAATAGCCTGCGTTTTGTAAAGTGAAAAAAGTCGTAACATGCAACTTTTGTAAAAACAAATGAACATGGCACGGAAGCACCACTGTTATGACGCAGCACCTGAAAAGAAAACACGTTGGAGCCTTCGATGGCAGTGAAGAGAGCTGATCAGCAGGATGAGTAACCATGTTTGTTTGGTTTTAAAGTGGGGAAACGTAATGTTAGTTTCTCAGGTAGCTCATCTGATGCTTTCCTTACCTTGTTAGTAGGTTACAGACAGTGATAAGGTTGGCTACTTATTTTACTTTTAATTTCATTTAAATTTGTTTAAGCAGCGTTTATATTTTCTTTATAAATAAATTAACTTGCAAATTATGAAGGCAAGGCTTTTAAAGTTTAAATCTTCTGGCGAAGATAAAGAAAAGAAGATCCTGCAATTTATGGAAGTAAAGCAGAACAAAATCCAGCAAGATCAGTAATATGTCAATTAATTATCTGCCACATTCCCATGTAAATATCTGTCTTTGGAGGATGTGTTTTTTTTTTACCACCCCTAGTTCTCTCATTTTTATTCCAAATACAATTTATAATTTGAATCACAGGGCTATTTTTATCTCTATGGTTCAGTATTTTCTCAAGAAGCAACTTTAACTGCTATACTTTCCTGTCTTAAAAGGCAGAACTCTTCTAGTCTAAAAAAAACTCATTTGTTGAAATGGGGGGGACCTATTGTTTGAACCCCTTAGGGGCTTTAAAAAACAAAAATGCCTGTCTCTTTTTGCGCTTTATGAAACAAAGTAGCCTATATTTTGTGGATGTACAGCTACATTTCTCATGTAAGTTTGCGTAGTTTTTACACAAACATTTATTTTTCATTTTGCACCAGTACAGTTAATGAGCAACCTGTACTTGTGTGCTTGTTTGTTCTGTCTAAAATGTTTATTTTGGAATAAAGAGGTTAATATAAAAAACATTTTTTGTCCGATTCATCGATTAATCGAAAAAATAATCGGCCGATTCATCGATTTTTAAAATAATCGTTAGTTGCAGCCCTAGATCTCCATGAGGGCAGATTCTGCAAATCCTTGGAGCCGAGGCCTCAAGCGTCTGATGTGCTGTGAGCAGGTTTTTAACACATCACTGAAATCCTGCTTAACTGTAAAACCAGCAGCTCAGTGGTGCTGCTTCTGATCCAAATGCTGATTCATTAACAACAGATCATAGAAAAGGCTCTTTAAAGCTCCCTTATAGCCACAACAAATGTCTAAATATTAATTTAATCAACTGATGTTTTTGAACAGACCAATTTATCTAAAAGGAGGGAAAACAAAAGTTATATATAAAAAAACCGTGTTTGTAAACTCATAATTTATAGTTTCACTAAAGAAGCAGAACTTTTTTTGAATCTTAAAGGATTTGTTAGCATATTAATATCTGATATGAACCAAACAAAGGCCTGCAGTTTGAACTGCAGGGAGAATACAAAGAAGGAAAAGGGTGAAAGAAAATATGACTTGATTGTAATTATCTTTATATTTATTGATATTTTCTTGAATTTACCTATAATTTCAATCCCCCAGAAAGCAGAGGTATATTGTTGTCACTTATAGTTTCTAAACAAAAACAAAAAGATTCTCTAATTGGTGAGTTTCTAGAACTGACTGTTTTACTCCTGAAGGACGCGTGTCGAGACATGTAGAGACGTACAGGCGGGTTTAAAGACACAGACTCTGCTGCTAGCACTACCCTGCAACTTTAATCCATCAAATCTTTACAGACCAGTGTGACAAGCCCTGCCTGTAGTTTATGACAATCATCCCGTGCTTTGCTTTGCCATTCATCCAGATTAATCACACTTTTTATGGCCAAATAACTGCCCTGTCAGCACCAAACACTGACACTGGTGTGGCTATTTCAGTCAGGATCCAAGTTTTATGGCGGCTGGCTCAAACACCCGCCATCTCAGAGGTTTATTGTGGCACATAAGGCCTGGAGAGAACAGGGCAGAATTTATGCTTCGTCTCTCTATCTATTGTCTAACCTGTCAGGTTAGTGACAGAACATTTTATGAGCCCTACCAAGAAGAGGGAGTGGATGTGTTTACACACACTGGCTCTGCATGGGGACAACAATCCATCAATACCAGCTTGTTGCACAGTTTTTGTCTTCTTTTGACCTTCAGCATATTGTGTATTCATGACACCCCCCTCACACCCCACTGTGTACCTGAAGCGCCAGCTCCTGGATATGTTTGAACAGTTCGATGTCTTTCTCTGTCAGGTTCTCGTGTCCGGGCAGTTTGTCTTCGTCCTCCCGCCAGTCACTGCCGTCCTGATTGTCTGCAAATCGTAAAGATGTTGACATGAATGCAAATCCAACATCGGCACCGGAGAAAAAATACATCAGATGTCAGAGCTGCATGTAGAAAGTTTACTGAATAAACTCTGCGCTATACATGGATGGATTTGTTAAAGGAGAAGTCCGCTCATATTCAGAATTTAAACTTCTGAAAGTACTTTAAATATGAAATTATTACATACTGTTTAATGAATGATACATGTTTTTTAATTAAGAGTAATTTTCATTTAAATGTGCTTTACTGGAGGCATCCATGTTTGTTATAGAACACTACTGCAACCATCGGCTGTTGATCAAGTCCCAGCGCTTTATCTGGTGTTGTCACAACGCGCTATTATCCAAGTCATCTTGAAATCATTCTTCTTCCAAATGTTGGCTACATATTACGTGTTTTTTCTCTGGCCAGAAGTTCGATGGCAAATCCTCCCTCCTCAAGTTGGCGATCCAACGACCAACCCGTCCGTGGAGGATCAGGAATCAGAAAGGTGAAATAACTTTTTTTCACTTCTACCCGATGTATTCCAACATCCAGCTGCCATGCACGTGGGCATTGTCAGTTTCACTATAGCTCTGGTGAATTTTAATGGTGAAGTCCTCTGGAAATCTACAATAATTGTTGTTGATTGCAGACGTGGCTCGTAGTTCCCATTGATTTAGCTTGTAAAGCGGGGAGAATGGCGCTAGGCTTACCGCACCGTGACGTCACTGCCGGAAGATGTCAGGAGTGAGGTGTTACTATATTTTGGCAAAAATGGGCGCTCCCAGACTCAGTAATCGCGACAATAAAAAGTTTTTTTTTTTTTTTTTTTTACTGATTTAATTTATTAAATCAGTAAAAAAAAAAAAAATTTAAAAAAATTTAAAATAATTGATTTAATTTATTAAATCACTGCGAACGTATTAGTTTTAGATATAAATATTGACCATTGATTATTCCTTGCTGGACGGACTTTTTCTTTAAATTAAATTGGAGCTGAAGCTTCTTACAACAGATTACAAAGTAATTTACTTGAAATCATCAACATCAGGATAATAGATTGGAAATTCTTTAGCTTGTACAAAAATTCTCAAGACGTAAGAAACAGTCAGAATAAAGGTGTTTGCTTCCAGGCTGAAGGTACGGAATTATAACTTCTCCGGTCGTTACATATGGCTCATCCTTACCACCTCCGTCGTCTCCCTCTCCTTTTCGACCCGCTTTCTTCCGAATGCGGCACTGCTGCGAGTAATCCACCACCTCCTGCCGCGCCTTGCGGCCTGCTGGCGATGGCGTGAAGAACTTGGTGAGGGCGTCGATGAGGCCCTTGGTCTTGCTGTTGAAGTGCAGGCTGCTGTTGGATTGCTCGTTGTCACCGCGCATGGAGAACAGCAGCCGGTCGTCACCGGGGTAACCTTCGCAAGAGGAGCTGGAGGAAGAGTTGGCCGAGGTGGAGCGCCTCCTCCGCCCTCGGCCTCCCAGCTTCTTGAACGGTCGCCCTGGTCTGAGGGGGAAAGGAGGCAGGAAGCTGATGTTAACCTTATTGGAGAAATAATTTGCTCGTTTTGACGTTTTGTACTTAAAGCTCAGGCTTGATAAAAGCTGTGAAACTTTCTTTACAGTGAAGCATAAACAGAGCTTTTGTTGAATTTTAACTGAAACCTTTATATGTTATTTATTTAGATTACAGGATTTAGTTGAGCAGTGAAAAGCAGAATCCTTTAAAGTGGTAGAAAATGTGTTGATGCTTTTCTGTTGTATAGAATCTGAAAGGTGCTGTGCAGCATGTAGAACAGGGGTGGATGTTTATCGGATTAATTATCGCCATCATGATATATTTCTCGTCATGATAAGACTTTGGATTAACAGTCTAGAGGCTACATTGGATAATGACCTTAAAAAAAAGTCTAAATATTTACTACAGTTATTATGGGATATTTAGGAATATAAATCTCCACTCTGTCTGGAACTGCTGTCCTGAAGAACAGCTATGAAGCTGCAGTCACTGACAAAGTTACCTCAGAAAGAAGCAACCAAGAGGTTTTTAATCATCAGAACATATTATTTTATGTCCACATCTCCCAGCCCATTGCTGCAGGTGCAGAACCCTTTCCACCACATTTAGGAACTACTACGGTTTACCTGCTGGAATGGGATCTGGCACGATGGAGTGTTTCTGTGAACATCCCTTGTTGAGACGTGACACTGTTTTCAGATCAGTACTTTAACTAGGCTGTTCTAATGCGGACAAGCTTTGATCATAAACTGTTCCTTTGTGCTTCTTGATGTGGGTTCAGCGGAAGTTTAACTCTATGCTACTCTCACCTTTTGTTGCAGGTTTTCTTTCTGGATGAGCCGGTTCTGTTTACGAGAACGGTAACAAAGAGCCTTTAGTTGCTCTGGCTTTCATTTAGGAGTCTCAGACTAAAGGGGGCTTAATAGAACGCACTGATTTCTATCTATATCGTTTTTTACTTTTTCTTTCTGCTTTAGAATGACGACAGACTTCTAAGTAGAGAGCAGTTTTAATGTAATTCATGAAAAAGAAAATAAGGATGTAGAAGTAATGTTTCCAAGGAACAGGACAAAGTACTTTGCTACCTCTCTGATCTCTGTACCTGTTCTTTTGCCGTCCCAGCGGCGCGTTGTATCGTCGTTTGATCTGTGCCGCCTTTTCGTGTAAAAGCGTCTTTCCCTTATTCCTGGGTTGGCAGATTTGACAAATCCACATGCCTAAGAAAGAAAAATGAAAAAGCAATGACTGATTGGAGCTGGAATAGAGATGCTTTAACCTCTATTATCCTCTACATCCCCCCCCCCAGTTTAATTTAATTTCTCTCTTTTCTTGTCAGACAGTGCTGTAATTCAGGTGACCCGTTTAGTTCTTTAGAAACAAATGTAACCTATGACACTGTTTACTAAACAGAAAAGTAACAGAGTGAAATGACTCCTCTGTGTTTTAAACTTGACCACTGATTTGTTTTTATTCTTGCTAAAAAAGTCTCACTTTCTCAATTAAAAAAAAGATAATTGTAAAAATTGGAGTGAATGAGGCTCAGAGATGTTTTTATCCTTTTCATTTGGCACCACAGCATCATCCTCAGCAGTAGACGTCTCATTTAAACTGGGAATTTCATATCTGCACAGAAGCTTCTTCCATACAAGCGCCTCTGTTTGCACTGTGAGAAACATTAACTAAGAATTGCCCAATGCCTGGATGTCTGATGCATGCTTATGGCTCTATTGCTGGAATCATTCCTTCGCTGGAGCAGATCAGAACATCTGATTCTGCCATTTCCCCTTTGTCATCGCAGTCAGTCAGTTAGTAAAACCAGCAACAGACTCTCTCTATTTGTTTAATATCTCCAAACTAGAAAAAGCCACCATTCATGCCTTTCTACTTGTTGGTGTTGGTCAAAGATCAGACAAAGGTGAGGGATGTAGGACTGAAATGTTTTTCTATCTGCAGCACATTTTTTATACGATACCCCAGAAAAAAAAGGAACAGTCTGACTGTGACAGCCTGCTGTCACACTCTGAAGCTGTGTGGTAACTTTTTCATTTTCAAAATGAGTTGCACATTTCATATATTTTCATTAGCCTGACTTTAAGTTAGCTTTTTGCAGTGCACACATTTAGTTAACTTTATTTGTCAGGTGGTTGTTGTTTTTTTTTTTGTTTTTTTGTCAAGATGCAATTTATTAATTTCTTTCTTCTTTGAGTTGCCAGTTTCCTTGGGATCTGCTGTTTGAAGGCTGCAATGAGCTCCAGCTTTCCTCAATTGGTGGTTGCAGGCTAATCAGTGGATCAAACCATTTGTAATGAGAAGGAAAATTTGTTTATAATTTGTTTAAATATTCTTAGTTTGGGTAATTTTGTTAATAAGTTATATTTAAAAAGTATTTAGTATCTGGCCAGTATTTATCTGTTCAGTTAAGTTTATTTGTTTATTAGTCAGTTATCCCCCTTGTGTGTCAACAGTGGTCTGATCAGCCACCATCTAAGTTTCCCTCATGTCCTGTTTGTTAGGTCAGTTTGTACTTGAGTTCTTTATGTTAAAGCCTGAATTGAATTCTGTTTTGTTGACCTCTGTTTTCGGGCCCAGTTTATCATTTTTCAAAACATTTTGGGAATAAATTAAGCCTTTTTTTGAAAGATTTCAGTGGTTTTCTGTCTGGTTTGTGCAAATCCCTCACACTGACCTTAAAGAAAAGTTGGAAAAAAAAGGAAAAAAAAGCCAGATCGACGCATTTGTATTTCCTACCTTTCGGCATCCGTGTGAGTGGAGGATCACAGCACTCCATGTGGAAGCCCCGGTCACAAGAATCACAGAACAACATGTTATCCTGCAAAAACACACATCCACACCTTAGATAAACTTCTCAGCATCACTTCAAATGCTAACCAGAGATTAACAGAAACAGATTTGTTAGGGCCAATACCGACAGCCAATATTTTAACAGTCTAACCAATCCTTGATATGCGCCACCGATATTTTCGAGCTCGTTTTTTTTAGAGGAAACATTGATTCCCCCTCCTCCCATTTATGTGATAAAAGTTACACAACGATAATAAATTACAGACTTCTCACATAAAGAAAAACATTACCAACTCAAACTGAACATATGCAGCAATGCATGTGCTTCACATGATCTCAACTCATGCCTGCTAGAGGCAATTGTTCCCAAAGCCCTTTTTTTTCCCCCCACACAAATGCCCCTGCAATGTCTAACCCCACTCCAAACTTTTCTAACAGTTGAACAAAGTGTTAAGTTAAAAGCAGTAAGATAAAAATTGCAATAACATAAACTACAGTCTACTATAAACTGCTAAATCTACATAGCTTCAAAGTGCTTTTAATTGTATCCAAGTATCATTAATAATTCAATGCTGCCATAAAAAAAAAAAAATATAAACTCTCAGACTGGGTCATTTATTCAAACCATTTTTACTAAGCCTGCCCTGCAATTACACGTCGCTATCCCTAGGAGGCATACTTCCCAATTTTGCAACCAGTGCACAGGAAAAACTACTAATATGAGCCGAAATTATCGTCCCGCTGATGTCGGCCAGGTTCACATTCTACACAGAACCCATTCTAATAACAAAATAAACATTATCCACATTATTTTATCAAATGTCACCTTATTGGATGAGACAACAGATAAATGATGCCGCCGAAGACTAAAATAGCCCGACTCCACTGATATGTGTATCAGCAACACTATGTGACACTTCAGTGAAGAAGACTGAGGGATGCTGTCTAGCTGCTGGTTCACCATGTTTGTTCCTCCGCTCACCGCATTCTTTCCTTGATCCTGACAGCTGCTGCAGGTCTTGCATTCGATGCACTGCCACCACAGGGCTTTGACTCGTGCCGTGAGCTCTGGGGAAAACTTCAGACAGGACGGGTGACCTGCAGGAAGACGCACAAACAACTGTATCAACATCACAAACGGCGTCTTGTTTGCTGCGACTGACAGCTGACACACATGCAAGTTTGGGAAAAAAAAGAAATAAAACATACATCTTTGCAGCCAAGTTTGACTCGTCAATGGCTTTCAAGCTCAAAGTTAGTTTTCAAACATTCTGTCAGAGCTGTGCTTTCCTGCCCTCTGCTGTTTCTCACAAGGCTAATGGTAATGGAAGAGCACCACTGCTTCTCTGCTTTCTTTAAAATTCCTAAGCACCAACCAAGTTTTCTATCTCAAAATAGAAGAGAAACAATCCGATTGGCTTTTTATTATCATATAGATACTCTAGCAATACAACGATATGCCTCATCGTTGTTTCACTAGTGCCAACTAACTGCTGAACAAGAAGCTAAGAGAACAATGGCAAAAAAAAAAATACATTTCTGCTGAAGGAAACAGCTATTTTGACCATTAAAAAAAAAACAGAAAACTGATGGGAAGCTACCTGTTAAACATTAAAATAATGCATTTTAAGCTGTGTGGTTTCATAAGCTGAACAACAATTATTTAACCTTTAACCCTTAACTGTTTGGGCTCATAGTGATTTTAAAAAGTTGTTTAAACTATTTAGAAGCCTTTAGTTACATCCCTTTAAGAACTCTAATGATTGTCACTCACCACTGTTGCCACAATCAGCGCAGGAGATGAGCTCCTCTGGCTTCTTGTCGCGGTTCTGCTCCTTGGTCCCCAAACAGAAGCTGCAGATGGGGATGGGCTCTGCCACGGGCTGGTGGAAGGACAGAGGAGAAAGTTCAGACCATGTGTCAAATTAACAGCTTTAGTAAACAAAAACAACATGGAGGCCCCGTGTCCTGCCGCAGTCAATGTCGCTGCGTATGTTAGTGAGCTGACAGCAGACGACGATGACGCTGCAGAGTGTGTCTGTGTTTGAGCAGCTAGTTCAGGGTAACGAGGACCTGAGAGCTGCCATGATGAGGGAGCTTCTATTATTTATGGACCATGCTGTGTTGGAGCAACTCTGCTGATCACAGGACGGGAGGAGTGACCGTGTTAGTTCAGCTGGGTAAGTTTTGACTGCAGGGTTCACCAGAAATGTGTGAAATATCCAGGCTGCTCATTTAGTGAGATCGCCTTAAACGTTAGACGAAGCACAAAGGAAAGAAAAGGACAGAATGATGCACACATTGTTAAAGATGGTGGAGTCCAGTGATGATTGAATACACTGCAGGGGTTTTCCTACCCCAGAATAGAGCTTTAATAAGACCGCTGTGTGTTTAGCTTGATTTCTGCAGGTGGAATGTGGAACCAAATCAAAATAATCAAATTCTAATGTTACCATCTGTGAATTTAACTAAATAAATGTATTTTTATCCATGTTATTATGGCTGTTTACATGTAAGAAAACCAAAACAGAAGATACCTTGTTTTGTTCCAGATATTTCCAAGTCATATTTTAAAATTTAGGAATCTTAAAACCAATTTTAAGCAGCAGTAATCAATTAGATAATTAACTGACAGGAATCAGCTGATTTCTAACGTGTCCACGATCTGCTTGTCAGAAACCCTAAAGTTTGATTGTTTTCCCAACAAGTCATTGCAGCATTCTTCAATCGTTGAAGAGTAGAGGAGAGTTAGGTTTAAGTAAAACAAGTCAAAGTGTGTGTAGATCATTCTTACTGTGAGAGAGCAAGACGTTCAGCAGATAACAGGAACTCATTCTTTAAGCAGTCATTTTTCTTATTTGGTATAACCATCTGAAAATCTGAGTGAAACGTCGCATGAAGTTGTCAAAATCTATGTGAGCGAGCTGCTGCTGCACTAGAAGCATTTCCTCCAAATACATTTCCTCAGATAGCTGAGATAGCTCTAGAGGCTCTGGCTGCACATCCTGTCTTCGGTTTTAAGGGAAAGCCCAGTAAGTCTGAAGCAATGGTCTGTAAACTTTGCTTCAAATAGTCCCGGTTAAATCCGCCAGCACAACAAAGCCAAAGCATCGGTGGAAAGCAGCACATTGCTCCGCCGTATCAGCTGGTTGACGCAGCTGCTAAGTGACATCATGTTCTAGTGCAGAGATGTAACAATGCAGCGTAACACATTATGTTTTATTAGGGCCTCGTCACACCTTGCCGTTTTAGCCCAGAAGTCCCAGAATCTCCTAAAATGCTGGCATACGCTGAACTTTCTATGTATTTTTTAAATTTTGGGCATATACATGGCGTGTTCATAACGACTCCTGAGCATATGTCCAAAAACAGCCTAACATATGCATAACGCACGGCAGCGTAATGCCCATTAACTGATGCACAAGCCAGTGTCCTGAGGGGGCCAGCCATGCGCCCAGAGGCGCCCGGCCTGCATAAAAAGATGTCTTTGATCACTGCATTAAAGGAATAGTACACCCAAAACATGATTAGCCTTCATTTTCTACTCACCCCCATGCCGAACAACACTCTGGAGTACTTTTTTGATATCTCAAATGCATCTGGAGATCTGGGAGGCTTCTTGCTGTCTGCTGACATTCAAATAATGGAGGTCTATGGCGCCCGAGGCAGAAAGGTCCATAAAAGTCCACAAAAAACGTGTCAATATTCCTCCATACTGCTCGTCCAATGTATTCCAAGTGTCCTGAGTGGGTAGCGTCCATAATTTACTCGAAACGAAGTCATTTAGAATGTTTTTAGAGCATAAACAGTAGTGTATAGGATTTCCTAAAAGCGCGTTCACGAGTCTACGGAAACCTCGGCAGACCAAACCAGATGAAAGTGCGCATTCAGCGTCTGCTCTGCCGATAATGCAAGCGTAGAAGAAGAAATGTGCTGTTTACCTGTGCAAAGAAAGAAACAACGAAAGAAAAATGTCTGAGGACTTCAGTGTTTAGGAAGAGCATGAGTTCTTTGCCGAGCTGAATGCGCACTTTCATCTGGTTTGGTCTGCCGTGGTTTCCGTAGACTCATGAACTCGCAGGCGCGTGCTTTCAGGAAATCCTATACACTACTGTTTATGCTCTAAAAACATTCTAAATGACTTCGTTTCGAGTAAATTCTGGACGCTACCCACTCAGGACACTTGGAATTTATTGGACGAGCAGTATGGAGGAAGTTTTTTGTGGACTTTTATGGACCTTTCTGTCTCGGGCACCATAGACCTCCATTATTTGAATGTCAGCAGACACCAAGAAGCCTCCCAGATCTCCAGATGCATTTGAGATATCAAAAAAGTACTCCAGAGTGTTGTTCAGCATGGGGGTGAGTAGAAAATGAAGGCTAATCATGTTTTGGGTGTACTATTCCTTTAACCTAGCTGCTGTTTACCAACCACCAAAAAAAAAATAACATAACACACGAGTAAAAAGGTTGTGGTTATTAATGCAGGGCGGATCCATCACACTCACACTATGATGGAGATAAAGTCTGGAGAAGAACTGATGGTTTCCTCCTGTGAACACCCCTTTTATACCAAAACGCTGCTAATACGCCATTAAACAGTAGCTGTACTTTAGAAACACGTTCAGCGGCCATCTGGAACATGTCAGATACATTGATATGCGTTGGAGATAAGTTCTTGATACATCATGCACAAGTTACTCATAGGTTTTGGATAAGCTAGATGCCACGACTTATGAGTAACTTATAATTAACATATGTCAACGATCAGATAACTTACCTGTAACTTATGCCTCACGTATTGAATATGCTCGAAATTTTTTGAAGTACTCGCCGTATGTCGACGCGTTCCAGCGTGCTTATAACTGATACAAAACATAGCCATAACATATGGTAGCATTTTTACAAGATTTTTCATACGTCAGGCAGACGCTAGTCTAAATCTGCAAGGTGAAAGGGGCTTTAGCGACAATCAGTTCAGCATCACAGCCTCCTTCAGAAACGTTAGCTTTTGGTTTAACAGGCTGCTGGGTGCGTCAGATTTAACTCCTATTGGCTGCTGATGCTTTGTGTTGCAGCTCTGCAGCACTCTGGCGGTTCATACAGGCAGAATCAAACCCATTGGCCCTAAAACTGGAGATTATATGGAATAGAGGACACACCCACTGGGCCATCATGACCCCTGCAGCCATTAGGCAAATCATTTTCCATTTAAAATAAATATTAACCCCTTTTAAAAAGTCTAGATGAAACACTTAAGACTAAACTTCCCTTCATTCATTTCCAACTCAAGAACTGAGTCTGCCTTAGAAGCCACTGTTAATGTTAAATCATTTTATGCTAAAGTTTATAAAAAATGTTAATTAATCAAGATCTCAATTTCAGCCAAATTAATCATGATTATAATCCGACCATAATCGAGCAGTGCTCTCACGGAGGGCTCTCGAAGTCAGAACAAGACTCTTGAAAAGCCCTTTAAAGTAGGAGCGTTTGAATTAGCAGCAGAGACACAATGGAGGATCTGGAAGATCCTGGCAGCAGCCTCCTGAACAACCTGCAGCCGGAGGTTTGGGGTAGACATGTGGAGAGGGCATTACTATAATTCAGACATGAGAGAAAATAATAACCCTAAAAATAAAAAACAAAAACAAAAAGAAAGCATGAATTTTATATTCCTGTTCATGATGATAAAAGCCACAAAACTAAGAAAAACTGAGCAAAACGGTGGCAAAATAATTCTTTGAACTCCACTGTTGTATCTCATAATGTGATTCAAGGACACAAACTCATAACTGGTTAGATCAAATCTTCACACTGATGCAGTTACAGCTTGAAGTAAACTGTAAAATGAAGATCTGTATTTAATCCATGTGTGCAGGAAGTGTCATGGAGATGAAAGACAAAAAAGATTTTCCACACAATAATATTACTTAAGCAGAAAATATTAAAGCTACAGTGTGTAATTTTCAGCGACATCTAGCGGTCAGACTGCAGACCGCAGCAACATGAACATCTCCCCCCCACCGCTTCTCCCCCCCAACAGTACGGCGAGCGTTACGGGACAAAATGTCTTCCACGACGTCCACATCACCTACCTTCTCAAGTGATGAGGTTTGTTTACATAGATAATTTTACAGATAGTATTTCATTAGTCTGTGTAGGGTATAGATTTCATGTAGACTTAAGATAATAAATATACCCGTTATTTTTTCTACGTCGTTGTGACGTTTTGGTGAGCTGCTTTGCATGGTGATATAAACAGACGAAGTAATTGTAGTCATTAGTTTAACAGCGAGATTGTGTTCGCTGGAAGAATATATATTCCCCGTTTACAGAGTCCAAGTCATTTTGGTGGCACGGGGGTTACAACGCGAGGGAGAGGGAGAGGACGAGGGCGAAGGCAGGGAGGCCGTGCAGCTAGGGCCAGGCGAGGGAGGGGTGCCAGCGGGGTGAGAGCAGAGGAGGAAAGGCTTGAAGATCTCCAAAGGAGCCGGAGAGAAGTAACCGAGGTATATATCCAGAAAATTATTTTACAGAAAATTACTGAATCATTACCTATGAAACGTCAGGGACGTTGCTGAATAAGTATACTGGAGAGTAACAGCATCATTACGCAGCATGTTATTGTTTTAGACAGGTCTGAGCATCCTGTACTCCAAAAACTGCAGTGATATTAGACAATTGTGTGTGTAGGATTAATTACCTGTCCAAGAGAAAACTGGCAACTTGAGCGTCACTTTGAAAACCTTTTTCCTCCATCAGTGACTTCCATCGTGTAAATGCCGTGCCAATGTTGATCCGTGTTTTTTGTCGTTTCTTGTCACGCTTGCGTTTATTCTCGTCGTGTTTCCGCTTCTTAGATGACGGGGGTTCGGTGTCCGCC